TCAGAGGAGCTGTTCTCGTTTGATCGCTGTTGCATAGAAATCCTGTTGCAAGAACGGCTTCAAAGATATCATCCTTGAACTTGTTTTGAGCAGCAGTATCGGTGCTAGCAATAGCAGCATATGCTTTTGTCTTGACTGCAAAATCTCAGAACCAGGCCATGCCATATAGATCTTGCAGGACTTCAGCCTGTCTCAAGAATCGTTCCTTGAAATGCATCAAGTTTTCTGTTGTTCCTTGCTTCATAGCAAAGAACTTTTGAATGGCTTCCCAGAAATCCAAGAAATCATACTCAGCATCAGCACTCTTCTTCATGAATCTTTCAATACGTTTCAAGAGTTTGATCGGATCTTCAAGAGTAGTTGTGAAATCGGCTTCACCTCAAAGCTTGATATCCATTGCTTTCGTCACAAACTTCAGCATGATGTTTGATTTGACGGTTCTCTTGTTTGTCTCAAAGCAGGCTGATCTTTGCATGTTCTCGTCGAGCTTTGCAGAATAGAGACTCTTGTTTTGGGCCATCTCTGTTTCTCTTGCAACAGCTTCACCAGTTTGAGTTGGAGCGTTCAATCTTGGAGCGATCGCATTGAAGTCGATCGACTTTCCATCTCGAATTGATTTCACCATGTCTTCTGAACATTTCATTCCAGAAGCTTGGATATAGTCAATCACTCTTTCTTTGGCATCTTTGTACGAGGATCTTGCCTTTCCATTGTTTTCATCTTTTGTTGAAAATAGATGTTTCACAACTGTTGAACTTGAGTTGTTCTTGACTTTCTGAGGAGTCACACGTCTTCTTCCACCACCGGATGAAGAATGTCCCATTGTCAACGAATCACTCACTCCTTTGTAGATAAGGCAGTGCTGTTCTTGACGTAAATTTGTTTTGTTGCCTTTTGTGATTGAATGTTAGAACAAAGCAAAATGTGCTCTATCGTGAGTGCCTTTAGCGCTCAGAACAAACTCTCTGCAATCTAAATTTGTAATCGACTGTACAACACTTTCACAACAATAGTTCTCCTGTGTCTAGGTATACCTTGAGTGAAATTGTTCCTATTTGATTAATGTTTGGCTTGAATTGATGATTCAATCACAAAAGTAAGTTCAACGATTTTCCCTTGGAAAATCCCTTGTTTACAGAACTTTGATTGGACCTCTACGACAATTCTGTGTTGGATGCAGTACTTTGGGACATCTTGTATTATTCCCTACTGCATTGTACACAACATCGATATCACACTCATATAGGGTCAATCCCTTTTTGTGTGGATGTAGATTGTCCGACAGACTTGCGTCCGGCATACTTGCGTCGAATCCTGACATCACGATCAAAGTCCGATCGTACGTGTTGAAAACTTTGTACTTGAATAGTTTCTTTTTGGAACGTAAAAACTCATATTTTGTCATATCCCAACAATACCATCGATATTGCCGTTCTGGCTCCAACTGTTGGATATATTAGGATTTTCGAAGTACATATTTGGAGAAACGAGAAAAAGAGAATACATGTGAACGATAGAGAAATGATGTCGACTGATACGACTAAAAATGAAGGGTTAGTGATACGACTAAAAACATCGAGCGTGGCGAGTCAGAAAACGAATTATATTTCTATGGAAATCATCCTGTTGATGATGTAAGAAAGCAAGACTCAAGCAAGAACCAAAGTTGGATACTAATCAAAGTACCGACTACAGTGGAATGTGAACGGATGAACAGATTGAACTTGCAGCATGTCAGGCTGACGTAGAGAGAATTCTAAGAATTTCCACTGAGCTGGAGAAGAAAGAGTCAAAGTCAGAAGTTGACAGACTGTTCTCACTTTTTATAATATATTGCAAGCAACGAGTGAATTGGTTGATAAAGTAGGATCTTTGATTGATCTATATACTTCTATATACTGTAAATTCACATACTTAGAAGGCAACAATACCTGGACAGCTAAATCGCAGTCAATTGAAACAGGTAGATTGCAGGCGGCACTGGATCGCTTACTTCTAACACCAACTACAGAGTCTCCGGAAATCAAGCAAGCAATCCTACAACAGTCTGTGAACTCCATCAAGCAGACAAAGACAACAATGGAAACCAAGGTGGATTTCTTGATGAAGCGCTACACATCAGTATGCCCAGACGTTTGCTCGCGAGTCAGCGCCGCCACCAGCAAATTGTTCAACGTGAATAGTGATGTGTAAGAATTTTCAAGCCTACACGTCATCGACAACACAGGACAAGCGATTGCTACAGGACCGGGACCAGGACTTCCAGCCCCATTTAGAGCTGCCACCACATACTTCAGAATCAAGCTCCAATTGGTCCCACGGCTCTGTTCCCTACAAACTGATATTGGACTCAATCCAACAAAGGTCCCACCATCTTCCAATAGAGCTGTCTACGTTCCAGTGCCAAGAGTCCAGAACTGATGGACATAACAATCACTCGCCAAATGGTAGCAGACCAAGCACATCACAAGGAAGTCATTGCAGCAATGGCAGCATTGGGAGAAGAGTTCTCAATGAGAGCCGCGACCAGAGACGGAGAACCCGACAATGAAGCCTACAAAAAATGGTCCAAGCAACAGATTGCAAAGACCCAGTTCCAAGCGCTCGAACAAGCACTCACGGCCAACTACATCGAACTGGCAAAGCTCAACATGATCCAATACAAAGGAGGAACGGTGACATACGACAGGGTGGCTACTTTATTCGGCAGAATCGCCACGATTCTAAACAGGTTCAAATCCCCTGCCAACCAACCTATCAGACTTGGCAGGAGTAGCGTTCCAAGCCTTCACACAAGAAATCAAGGACATTGTGGCTGAACACCTATGTTAGAACAAAGCAAAATGTGCTCTATCGTGAGTGCCTTTAGCGCTCAGAACAAACTCTCTGCAATCCAAATTTGTAATCGACTGTACAACACTTTCACGACAATAGTTCTCCTGTGTCTAGGTATACTTTGAGTGAAATTGTTCCTATTTGATTAATGTTTGGCTTGAATTGATGATTCAATCACAAAAGTAAGTTCAACAATTTTCCTTTGGAAAATCCCTTGTTTACAGAACTTGATTCGACCTCTACGACGATTCTGTGTTGGATACAGTACTTTGGGACATATTGTATTATTCCCTACTGCATTGTACACAACATCGATATCTCACTTGTATAGGGTCATTCCCTTTTTGTGTGGATGTAGATTGTCCGACAGACTTGCGTCAGGCATACTTGCGGCGAATCTCGACATCACGATCAAAGTCCCATCGTACGTGTCGAAAACTTCGTACTTGAATAGTTTCTTTTCGGAACGTAAAAACTCATATTTCGTCATATCCCAACAGAACTCACCATTTTTTCCATCAAATCCAGTTCTACTCCTCAGAATTGCCTCGACCATGTCCCAATTGCTCACCAGTATGTATTCATTGATTGTAACAATCACCATATTGGACCTATATGGTGGAAGCACATGGTAAGCATGATGATGGATCGAAATTCCACAACAAGAATCAGCTGGAACTTGTTAGAATAAAGCAAAATGTGCTCTATCGTGAGTGCCTTTAGCGCTCAGAACAAACTCTCTGCAATCTAAATTCTTCACGACGATAGTTCTCCTGTGTCTAGGTATACTTTGAGTGAAATTGTTCCTATTTGATTAATGTTTGGCTTGAATTGATGATTCAATCACAAAAGTAAGTTCAACGATTTTCCTTTGGAAAATCCCTTGTTTACAGAACTTGATTCGACCTCTACGACGATTCTGTGTTGGATACAGTACTTTGGGACATATTGTATTATTCCCTACTGCATTGTACACAACATCGATATCTCACTTGTATAGGGTCATTCCCCTTTTGTGTGGATGTAGTTTGTCCGACAGACTTGCGTCCGGCATACTTGCGGCGAATCCCGACATCCGCAATCATATCGTCAGTTGGACAGTATTCGATCTTAACATTGCCCTTCTCAACTTGATCTGTGATAAAGAAATAACGAATATTGATAGCTCGGCTTCTTTTGCCCGCGCTCTTGCGACCATTCTCTTCCAGTAGAATCGCGCTTTTATTATCCTGATACAAGATATTCTTCTCGATCGGATACCCTTGCCACTCCATGAACAACTTCGTCCATAGTATCATTGTGACAACATCGTCAACAGCAATCAGTTCCGCTTCTGCTGTTTAGCTTTTGCTTCTTCGACATCACTTGAGCTGCACCTCCTGCAAAGGACAGAGTGCCGCCAGTATGGCTCTTGAAATCTGGATGCACCACAAATGATGCTTTGATCATCCATTTCATGACTTGGAATGATTCTGCGGAAAGTGTCAGGTGATACAACGATGTACAAAACAAATATCGCATCATGCGAACGCACTTCTTCCAATCAGACTCTGTAGGTTCTTGAACTCTCAAGGCAAGAATAGTAATTGTTGGATGGATATCGAAACGAGCTCTCTTAGAGACATAAAGTTCCCTTGCAACAGTAGTATGAAAGATTTGACGGTACTCAGCATTGAGTAACTTTCCTTTCCCAGCCTCCAGTAAATCATTACCAGCTGGTGTTTCCTGCTTTGAATCCTTGTTGAACTTGACAGGAAAATCTTCCAACATGTTCTTGACATAGTCGTCCATGCGGATCTTGAGTTTTCCTTTCCTTTCACCAAGAAATCCAAAGTCATTTCAACATATCTGTGTATCTTTCCTCTGACGATCTTACATGGCTGTATCGAACCATATCTCATGTTCAACCACTCAAAAATTTGTCATTTACTTTCGGATCCATGTGACTTGACATAAGATCGTCAACATGAAATCTGATAGTTTGCTGTTTTTCATTAACAACTTTGTTAGCAACACATGGGTCATACGGATTGAAATCAAATCCCTTTGCCTCCAAATCACTTCGAAACTGGTTATAGAATAGGAGGCTCGATTGCAACATCCCATACATAGCACGTAGTACCCGCACATAGACTACTCGCTTTCCGTTCTCGAATACAACGTATTCGCGATACTCTGGGGCCAAGTCAATCAATATCTGGACCATCATGCCAGTGATTTTCATGTAGACGCGATCTTTGTTAGAATAAAGCAAAATGTGCTCTATCGTGAGTGCCTTTAGCGCTCAGAACAAACTCTCTGCAATCTAAATTCGTAATCGCCTGTACAACACTTTCACGACAATAGTTCTCCTGTGTCTAGGTAGACTTTGAGTGAAATTGTTCCTATTTGATTAATGTTTGGCTTGAATTGATGATTCAATCACAAAAGTAAGTTCAACGATTTTCGCTTGGAAAATCCCTTGTTTACAGAACTTGATTCGACCTCTACGACGATTCTGTGTTGGATACAGTACTTTGGGACATATTGTATTATTCCCTACTGCATTGTACACAACATCGATATCACACTTGTATAGGGTCATTCCCTTTTTTGTGTGGATGTAGTTTGTCCGACAGACTTGCGTCCGGCATACTTGCGGCGAATCCCGACATCACGATCAAAGTCCAATCGTACGTGTCGAAAACGTCGTACTTGAATAGTTTCTTTTTCGGAACGTAAAAACTCATATTTCGTCATATCCCAACACACTCCTGCCATTGTGACAATCACCATTGGCAGCAATGGGACATGCTCTCATTCACTGTTTATTTTTGTTTTGTATTTTCATTTTGAACATATACTGTTAGAATAAAGCAAAATGTGCTCTATCGTGAGTGCCTTTAGCGCTCAGAACAAACTCTCTGCAATCTAAATTCGTAATCGATTGTACAACACTTTCACGACAATAGTTCTCCTGTGTCTAGGTATACTTTGAGTGAAATTGTTCCTAGTGCCTTTAGCGCTCAGAACAAACTCTCTGCAATCTAAATTCGTAATCGATTGTACAACACTTTCACGACAATAGTTCTCCTGTGTCTAGGTATACTTTGAGTGAAATTGTTCCTATTTGATTAATGTTTGGCTTGAATTGATGATTCAATCACAAAAGTAAGTTCAACGATTTTCCCTTGGAAAATCCCTTGTTTACAGAACTTGATTCGACCTCTACGACGATTCTGTGTTGGATACAGTACTTTGGGACATATTGTATTATTCCCTACTGCATTGTACACAACATCGATATCACACTTGTATAGGGTCATTCCCTTTTTTGTGTGGATGTAGTTTGTCCGACAGACTTGCGTCCGGCATACTTGCGGCGAATCCCGACATCACGATCAAAGTCCAATCGTACGTGTCGAAAACGTCGTACTTGAATAGTTTCTTTTTCGGAACGTAAAAACTCATATTTCGTCATATCCCAACACACTCCTGCCATTGTGACAATCACCATTGGCAGCAATGGGACATGCTCTCATTCACTGTTTATTTTTGTTTTGTATTTTCATTTTGAACATATACTGTTAGAATAAAGCAAAATGTGCTCTATCGTGAGTGCCTTTAGCGCTCAGAACAAACTCTCTGCAATCTAAATTCGTAATCGATTGTACAACACTTTCACGACAATAGTTCTCCTGTGTCTAGGTATACTTTGAGTGAAATTGTTCCTAGTGCCTTTAGCGCTCAGAACAAACTCTCTGCAATCTAAATTCGTAATCGATTGTACAACACTTTCACGACAATAGTTCTCCTGTGTCTAGGTATACTTTGAGTGAAATTGTTCCTATTTGATTAATGTTTGGCTTGAATTGATGATTCAATCACAAAAGTAAGTTCAACGATTTTCCCTTGGAAAATCCCTTGTTTACAGAACTTGATTCGACCTCTACGACGATTCTGTGTTGGATACAGTACTTTGGGACATATTGTATTATTCCCTACTGCATTGTACACAACATCGATATCACACTTGTATAGGGTCATTCCCTTTTTTGTGTGGATGTAGTTTGTCCGACAGACTTGCGTCCGGCATACTTGCGGCGAATCCCGACATCACGATCAAAGTCCAATCGTACGTGTCGAAAACGTCGTACTTGAATAGTTTCTTTTTCGGAACGTAAAAACTCATATTTCGTCATATCCCAACACACTCCTGCCATTGTGACAATCACCATTGGCAGCAATGGGACATGCTCTCATTCACTGTTTATTTTTGTTTTGTATTTTCATTTTGAACATATACTGTTAGAATAAAGCAAAATGTGCTCTATCGTGAGTGCCTTTAGCGCTCAGAACAAACTCTCTGCAATCTAAATTCGTAATCGATTGTACAACACTTTCACGACAATAGTTCTCCTGTGTCTAGGTATACTTTGAGTGAAATTGTTCCTAGTGCCTTTAGCGCTCAGAACAAACTCTCTGCAATCTAAATTCGTAATCGATTGTACAACACTTTCACGACAATAGTTCTCCTGTGTCTAGGTATACTTTGAGTGAAATTGTTCCTATTTGATTAATGTTTGGCTTGAATTGATGATTCAATCACAAAAGTAAGTTCAACGATTTTCCCTTGGAAAATCCCTTGTTTACAGAACTTGATTCGACCTCTACGACGATTCTGTGTTGGATACAGTACTTTGGGACATATTGTATTATTCCCTACTGCATTGTACACAACATCGATATCACACTTGTATAGGGTCATTCCCTTTTTTGTGTGGATGTAGTT